TTTGATTGATATTCCTTTAACTGCTTCATAAAAAAAACATGAAAACTTACAGAAACAACCCAACACGAGTCTGATATTCTCTGGAGTGCACCAAAACAAAACAGAGAGTAAATGAAAATGTAGATAAGGTTTTGCGAGTCATCTCACTCTGGGTCAGATTCTTCTGTTTTGCCCTAACCAATTAGCACCCTATCAGGGGTGAAGCCAGACATAAACAACTATATGTACTGTTTTTCAAGCCATTGGAGATAACAGATTGTCTGAAATTGACTGAAATTTTCAATCATTTGGGAAAAAACATGTTGGCAAAACCCTTTTTCCTATTTTTTTTCTCCAACTTTCTTCATCATCAGAAAAAAAAAACACAAAAAATTTTGAGGTTATTATTTTCCCCTTGCCACCTAAAACGAGGCAAAAATAGTTGAGGAGGACTCCTCAGGATAAACGTTATGTCCATAGTCCGTAAGATAGTTAGCTAGCACGCTCACTGAGGTGACAACAACCCACCGTGACAATGTTAGGGCGGACCCATAGGTGGTGATATTTCCCCAGTAATAGAACCTCCGCTCAATTGATTTGTTGGTCCAGTCAGAGAGACTGAGGGAAAATAGCACAACGTTAAAGAAAAAACCTAAAACCAACTGCTCTGCCCTTGCCCACCATGATGGATAATGCCATTAACTACTTAACATCAGTCAGCATGTACAAACGGGGCTGAATCAGATCCGTAATAGCACATTGGCTTTCCTTCATGTCTTGCCTTCAGTACGCTCCACAATAATGACATTTTAGTCCATCTGGTCCACAGCAAGGGAAGAGGAGGAAGAGATCAACAGAAATGTCAAACCATCCTCAACCAACACAACAAAACCTGCCTTTGCTTTGAAAATCCTGGAACCGAATCTCACTGAACTGTGTCATCCAGGAATTTTGGGGATTCCCGTCCTGATTTATGGGAGATCCAGGAACAAATATTAATAAACGTTATTGTAACTAAATGTGCTCCAGGACATGTACATGGCAGGCAAGTGTATGGAACATAACAATGACATATAGCTAAATATCATGTACAGGAGTAAAAGCACCTTTTGATGCCTTTAAGACATCAGGGCTGAGACTTAGTTATCAACTAGATAGATTTCCTCCACATCCTCATATCTGCATTCAGTAAGCTTTTAATTGTGGAGGAGAGACAGTGTGTTTGCTGGTGGGTGAGATTTGATGGTGGGGGGGCAGGAAATCTGTGGGATTTACAGCTTAATCTGCTTAGGCACTTCCCTGTCGGCCGAGCTGCAGACTGTGGCTGAGAGAAGGACGTGCTAGCTTACTGCAGCTGTCAGGAGCTGCCTGCCACCGAATCAATACTGGTCTTCTTTCTACCTCTCCGCGTGTCTCTCATGTGCCTCTCCCCCCTGCCTCCTCAGCCTCAGCCGTCAGCTTCTCCTGCCGGCGCTAAATCAATGAGTCCCGAAGCTGATTAGCAGGTTCAAGTGTAGGTCATTTCACACAGCCAGAGGACATTTCTACTGATGTACATGCTCATAGATCCTCACTGCAAGAATGTTGTGGTAGCTATATACACAAAATTTGAACACATTTGGCTCATATTTTTATGATGTGCTGAGAGTTCATTCTTTAGGATGAAATACTATATGATATACACAATTCATCCTTCCTAAGTCCCCCCCCCTCATGGCTCTGTGCTCCAATAACAGTTGAGCAAGCCTTGGTTACTCCCATTTTCCCCTGGTTTCTTCCGTGTTTCTTCCGGCCATTTGCTCAAACTTTACTCTGAATAATCATCATACAAAGTTTGTCTGAGCTTAAATATTTTAACTTTGGATAACAATGCCGTCTACTGTTGCTGGTATTCTCTGCCGGCCTCACCTAAGTTTACCATCCTGCTCTTATTCACTGACATCCGATTTGCCATCTACCGTTGGCCTGAACCCATGTGAATTAAGCAGATTTCGACTTAAGCGTTTCCATTCACAGTAGCCTGTCTAGTGGAAGCCACACATGCACACTTATGGACACAGGAAGTAGAGAGAGAGAGCTCATGAACTAATTTCATCTAACAGACGCAAATTAGCTAGCTAATGATTGATTTAGATTATCTAGCTAGTTAGCTAGCATTTTGCTAACATTAGTTAATTAATTAATAATTAATTAAGTCTTTAAAGGATTGGTGTGTAGTATTTAGTGGCATCTAGTGGTAAAGTTGAAGATTGCAACTAACTGATAACCGCTCATGTATATAACAATCTGGGAATGAGAATGGGCTTTGAAGTGTGTGGGAGAAAAACGTTAAAGGCCCTATCTAGAAGCAGTGTTTGGTTTGTGCATTCTGGGCTACTGTAAAAACATCAGGTTTCAACATGGCGGACTCCACGGAAGGAGATCCGCGCTGTCAGTAGATAAAAAACTGTTCATTCTAAAATAAGAATAAAATAAGAATAAAAAAAAGGTTGCTTTTGTTTAGGCAATATATTGGCTCTTACCAATTTATTTTATAGGTTGGCCATATGTTTATAGATGATCTGTGATGATTTTGCCAAGGTTTTTCTTCTTTTACACTTTTTTGAAAGGCTCTTGGTTTTCACACGGCTGCCTGAAAAGCTCCCTCTGCTACTGATAAGAGTTGTTGCTGTTTCATCTCAATGGCTCTCTCAGTGTGGTCTTCCTCAGAGTGACAGAGGAGCCTTGAGCTATAAAATTGTACTTTTTGGTAAGCTAGGGGAAATGTGTTGCAATCAGTATTTTTCTACATAAAGTGTTGGCAGCTTCACATTATGTAAGTTAATCCACATTCTAAGACACTAGATGTTGATAGTATTTATAGATTCCCTTCAGGCATAAGACATTAAGACATATATACAAATAGTCTGCTGGCAACCATAATGTGTGTCTGACATGTTTTTTCTAAACAAAAAAGTATCACTTTCATATTAAAATCCTTAAAAAGTCATCTCCTCCTTCTACCTCATTAAAACCTCCAGAATCTCTGAATATACAAATGTCGTTGATTTCTAAAGTTTTCCTGCTGGACACAAGATGTCTCCTACTTCACTGTAAAGTCCATTCTCAGTGGATCCTACTGAAAGGGCCCCGCCCCTTAAAATCAGATTTTCAATGAGCACAGAGAAACTTTCCTCTTTCAGCAGATTAATGTGAAAACCTCCTTCTAGTGTCAAACTGTAGGGACAAGAAGATACACTGATTTCTGACTGAAGGGGGACTTTGGACTGTTTATAAGTCACTCCAATATGCTTTAATATGGTGAGCAGTGGTCTTTATATATCTTTATATACTTTTATATATAACACCTTAAGAGAACTGTTTTTCATTTCACATTTCTGTGGGTGAACCATGCAAATTTTGACAAATGAGGACAGGACCAGAAACAATACAGGACCTGATCCTTTTATTTAATATTGTGCTTTAGTGATGTATATTTCCAAACTAATTTTGAATTAATCAAATTACTACAAACTAACTGACATGACTCTTTGGGGCCCCTGAGGGTCGGACTCTGGGCAGTTGCTTGGCTTTGTCTTCTTGGTTGTTAATTCAGGTTTGTGTGCTGGAGCTCAGAGTTTACCTTTCATTTTATTTACTACAGCATCATTGGTGTCAACAGCTACTAAATTATATCAACTGCAGCTACAACTAATATGAAACAGCCTTTTGCTCATATAAGGTATCTACATGTTGTGTACCAAGTTGAATACTGAAGGCAGTCAGGCCGCTGTGAGTCCACCACACGTGCTCCACAGTGAATGATCATTGACCACAGTGACATGAATCAAACCCTACTGAGCTTCACACCATCAGAAATCCAATAGCACCTCCAAGTGGTCAAATGGGTACATAACAAGCTGTACACTGAATGTTGAGGAGCATGAAGAGTGAATCAGTTTCTATATTGACTGTATGGAAACAATGTTCATTGTGGAGCAACAACATATTTACTGTTTATTTACCCACTGGTCTCAACAAGAAGTTACACGTCTTTAAAGGATTGGTGTGTGGGATTTAGTGGCATCTAGTGGTGAAGTTGAAGATGGCAACTAACTGATAACTGCTCAAGTATGTATTTGATGACCTGGGAATAAGAATGGGCTTTGAAGTGTGGGGGAAAAACTATGGTGGCTGCAAAATTTGTGTGGAAGCTCACGAAAAACACAAAAGGCCCTTGCTAGAGCCAACATGGCAGAGTGTAGAAGATGGACCAGCTCCGTCAAATTATAATATAATGAAAACACAATGATTCCTATATTCAGGTGATTATACACTAATGAAAACATACCTATGAATATTATATTCCATTACCGAGTTACAGCTACATGTTTTCCAGATCCAGTCCAGTATGGCTGTAGAGCCTCACTTCTTTAAATGGTCACGTTATGTTTTCTATGTACTATGTGTATCCTCAGGATGTTGCAAACACTGTTTGGTTTCTTCACATATTGCTAATGGCTAAGACAGAGAGTATCAATATGATATATGATATTTTTTGTGACATAAACAGATGCAGAGCTTTGCGTTACACCCCTACCCAGTGGCGTAGTGCACTGTATATGCAAACATACGGAGAATAACTTCTTATTTTTCCTCTGTGATGGACATCATTCGGCAGTGTTCTTGACGCTGATTTTTTTTCCCGAGGATGGAAGGAACACTTCATTTAGAATCCACAATTATGTCGTTATTTCTGCCGCCTGTGGACCAGTACCTACTGCTTGTAAAATCTGCACATCTTCTGTGGCTAATGTTAATTTCATAATCACACCTTTCACACTACATTTTATTTCACCCTTTATTAATACTAAAAATATGAATTAGGGCAGCTTTAAACATGAAATCTAAGGTTTACTTTGACTACATTTGTTGTCTCTAATATCACATGTCTGCATCATGTTTCGTTTCGCTTCAATGTAATCAAAAACATTTCCACCATGAACAATAGATTGTAGTGAATACTCTGAAACAAGACAGCATTTGGTATATTAGGGGATTTATTTGGAAAAACAAACAAATAGAAACTGTTACAAAACTATTATAATTCAAAAAGTTAAATTTATGCATATTAGTCGGGCGTGGGGATGGGGAAATCTGATAAGACAGAACAACACTGAACAGTCAACAAAGCAGACAACAACTCATGGCCTGTTACTGCAGAAACAGAAAGATAGCTTAATGGAACAGGGCAGAGGCTCTTAGCTTTTTCTTATCTCTGATGCTATCTCATCAAAAGCTTACATGTAAACCTTTCTTTTAAGCTTTGCTTTTGTCTGCACTCTCTTGCTCCGCACTCTCCCCTCCTCTGCCAAGTCGCCAGTTCAGCTCTGATGTCAACACTGAGCAGCACGATTTCTGTGAAAGAAAAGAAGAAATGGTAAAGAAAAAGAGACGGCAGCCATGCGAGCAGTCTCAGTGAGTCTGTACAGCGGTGCTTTGAGCTAAATACTAACAGCGTAGCTAACATACTGATGTTTTTGCCATGCTCACCCTCTTAGTTTAGTGTGTTAGCATGCTAGCATGTGCTTATAAGCACTAAACATTACGTGCGGCAAAGGATGATGGAATGTCATTAGTTCAGTCAGGACCACTTTTGTCAAAAGAACTTTTATTCCAAAGCAGAATGTTACATTTGGCGGTATGGCTCTGTTCTGGGGCCTCCCTGTCCTTCCATGTGCATACATGGAAAAGTTTAGAGAGCGGCAGGAGAGACCCCCCAGGGTACAGAACAGAGCGAGCATCAATGGCAATCAGAAATGACATTGATTAATTAGATACAATGTAAAGGAGGAGCTGGGGTGGACGTGGGTTGCAAAACGGCTTGTAGAGAACGCAGCAAAGATAGGCAGGCTAAAGCAGCTTAAATAAGGCGCTCTGCCAATTGGATGCTTGAGGGAATCAGCTGATCCATCAGCTGATGTGTGTTTACGACTGGCTGTGATCAGCGGATGTAGCTGGATTGAGAGCTGTGCTTGACTTTGTGGCCTGCCTGAACTAACGCTGTGCTTCGTTTTTGCAGGTATTGGGCCATAAACCAAAGCGTTGGACACATTTTTACCTCGTAGTGCCGCTAGAGCAATGGTGAAGAGATCACTAAAGTTATTACAATTGACCCTTCCTATGTTCTACCCCTTTTGGAACCTCAGTCAACTTTCTCCTTTCCTGTACCGAGATATGCATGTGCTAGGCTCGACCACCAAATTCTGAAGATGGTTATAAGATAAAAGCACCATATATATATATATATATAATATATCTCACATCTTAAGTAAGCTAATGTTAGCAAAATGTTGGCTAACTAGCTAGCTAACCAACATATATTTTTAGCTAGCAAGCTAATCAGTGTAGATTAGCAGCTAACTAGCTAGCTAATGATTGATTAGCAAGATTAGCAAGCTAGTTAGCTTTTAACCATTTTCAAAATTGTGTTGTCTTTTCAACATAGACAAGCCTAGCACAAAGCTATCTAAGTAGCTAAACTGGCTGAGCTGGCCTGCTCAACTGTCATTGGAGAATCGCTGGAACACAGAGCAAAACGGGGCCGAACAGGAAGGGCCAGTTCATCATCTGGGAACCATGATTATCTGTACTAAATTTCACTGGAATCCATCCGATCATTGTCGAGATATTTCAGTCTGAACCAAACAAACATTACCATCCATGCTGCTAGCACTGACACTGATTCTCTTCCCTACCTTGCCATCCTTAGCTTGGTTGCGGGCCCTGGATAGGAGCTCCAGCAGGGCCAGCAGGAGCCCAACACCCAGTCCCAGGCCCAGGAGGAGGAAGAGGCCCCGCAGGTTGTGGGGCTGCAGGGCCTCGGAGGTCTGAGCCTTGTCAGCACCCACGCAGCTGCTGGCCCACCACTTGTCCCGCAGATACATCAGCTCACCGGACTCACTGAGCTGGAGGATGGCTTTGGTTAGATTTTTGACCAGCGGGGAACCTGGTGAAGCAAAGAGAGGTGGTGTGAAAGAAGAGTTCAGTTTTGATTCATACGTAGCAGGAAACAATGGCGGCTCGCCTGGTCACACACAATCTCATATTCCAGATAAACAGCACACTAAAACACAACTCAACGCAGGAACAGATTGTTGATTGATTTTTGATCAGCTCTGTCTAGTTTGACAGTTTGAGCTGAGTTTCGTGCGTTGAGCTGGATGGACTCACTGAGAATGACCTGTCAATCACAAGGTAGCCTACCCTGCTTTATCGTCTATTTTACTCTAAATGGGACCATCATTTACTAAATGAACATCATGCTGTATGTAAGAAGACTGAAACTAGAGATTGAGACCATAAACTCATCAGGAAACTTTACTGAGCTCATAAATGAAGAGTCAAGTTGACTCATTCTCCATTAGAGTGAATGGGATCGGTGTGTTATTGCAGCCAATGGAGCTCCCCCTGCTGGCCTTTACATAGAATGCAGGATTAAGACACTTCGGCATTGGCTTCACTTTTTAGACCTGGAAGCTCTGTCCATTATATATACTGGTAATGGGTCCAACCCCTGATGTTCTGGCTCACAGTTGGTTAGGGCTAAAGGACTATTTGTGAGAGGGGAGGGGGGAGGGGGTGGCTAAAAACAAGGGAGGCACGTAAACTACCGCCATATGGTGAGAAGATTCACAAACTTGGTATATCCTTTTTCTGGCAAAAAACAGACTCAGACCCTATGCTCACTCCTGTCTGTCTCTTCTGCAGAGCAGAGACGAGTCCCCACCACTGCCTAGGGGTTCTTCATGGGGCCTTGTGGCCAGCTTGATTTCTACGGAAGCCCATTTCCGCCACTGTGATGGGGAAAAAAGTCAAAATATTAAGAACGTTTTTCATGAGATAAGTCAAAATATTGATAAAGTTTGTCATAATTTAGAGAAAGTTTCTCATTTGAGATACTATGTCAATATTTTGAGAAAGTTCCTCATTATAATGACTTACAGGTTCTTTTTTTTTCATCGCATTGGTGGAAATGGGCTTACACAGATTTCTTTTTTCGGTCTTAGATAGAAGACAATAAACAATAAAAATGAACTGAAATCAGAGTGCTAAGAGCAGTAAAGAGAAAGAGGAGAGGAAGAATATTATGGCCTCCTGTTCCCTCACAGACTTCTCTTTGTCAACAACTGAACCCTCCATGTCTGGACATCATCCTGCTGCTGTTAGCTCTACTGCTCGCCGAGACAGTGACAATGTTAGCTGCTGGAGTTTTTGGACAGTGGACATTTCCTGTACGCTACAATGGATTTGTCATTTTCCTGGATTGGATTCAAAGTGACAGCTGCTGGATGAAAATATCACTGGTAAGTTGTTTTTCTAAATTCACAAGTTATTCTAAAATACTGTTGTGTGTTGCTGCTTGTTTTGTAGACCGCCATGTCTGCAGGTTATTGATTGTGTAGACTGTGTGGGCATCCAACGTGTCAAACTGTACTCATTTACCTGCTATAGTCCGCCTTTTCATCCTTTATCTGACTGAGGTTTGAGTAGATTATTGGTAAAATTCACAATTTCAAACATTAACAGTAGCTATTAACAGGTTGTTGTTTGAATCCATGGTACCGTCCATGGTGCTCATTGTAATCCACATTTCTCTCTGTTTCTATAATCCCAATAATAAAAAGTCTAAAGTTATTTTATTTTTATGGGCATCTGTGCCATCTGTTATTGTGACCGCTGCTGCCACTGTTGTGTATGGTTAATATGCACACGTTGCTAATGTTGGCTGTATTCAAGGATTCAAGGTTATTTTATTGTCATTTACAACACAAGATTGTAGAATTAAATTTAGATATAGTTGTATAATATTGATTGATTACTGAGTCATAAAATTGAAGTAAATTACTAATCTGTATGATGACTTGTTGAGGAAGACTGTCACAGCCTGAGGGAAGAAGCTGTCTTTAAGTCTGTACAATGTAATGGTTGAAAGGTCAGCCCTTGCTTTTTATTTTCTCAATGCTACCTGCATTTGGTGTGAACATAATAAAATATGGTTGTTGATTGTGGATGCATTTTCACACAGTCACTTGTGTGTGTTTTTTGTGCCACTGTAGTTTCTCCTTCACACTTGGATGAGTCAAGGGCTTTCAGTTGGTTGAATCTACATTTACACTCTGGTCCTTTTTTAATTAATTGATCATCCAAAATGCTCTGAAAGGTCCAAGCCACTCACCCAGAGGTGCTGCGATGCCGTAGGCTCTCATAGCAATGACTTCCTGTGAACGGGTCAGTTTACAGTAGCGAGCCACTGCCAAATCCAAGGACACTGCTTCACCAATGAAGGCAAAGTTTCCTTCCTGGGAGCGGCGAACGCCCTCCTCCATACTGGACACGTAGCTCTTCTTACGCTCCATGTGCTCGTACATACGCCGATACACAGGGTACTTTGAAAACTGGGAAAGAAAAGAATGAAAAATAAAACATTTGAATCTTCCCATGTGCTTGACATTGTGTTCTGAGTGTGCAAGATATCAGGAGCACATGTTGCCTTCCACTCAGTCATATGAACCTATCTCACATGTTAGGAACCAGCTGTAAACTCCAGTTAGGAGCTGCTGAATTTACCTTAAAGAAAAGCATGGTGGATCCACCCTCGACCGTGCCATAATCGATGGCGTCCTGGTTGGCGAGGTCTTCAAAGGTCTTAATGGAGACGTGTTTGTTGTTGGAGTGCAACATGGAGTTGAAGTTGCCAAAGTAACAGGCCAGCAGCAGTATAACAAACAACCACCAGATGGCGCTAACGAGTCGTCCAGATAGGGCTTTAGGGTGGGGGCCAGCACCTAGGGGGACAATGACAGCAGTCAAGTGGCTGCAGCTCCAGGACAAAGCAGGGTTGTAAGATGTAATTCAGGTCGTAGTTCATTTTTATGCTACACGTAAAAAACAAAACTTATGTACGGTAAAATTGATTAATAAGTAATTAAATAAATATTAATAATATAAATTCATTCTCAATGTATTTTATGATTGCTCTGACTCTTTTCACAATTCAGTTGGCAAAACCCCTAACACGAGACTGAAGAAAATGTAAAGTGAAGTGGAAAACTGGATCGAAAGAGGTAATGCAGCCTCACAACACTGAATATGTCCATCATTAAGCTAAATTTTAATTATTGTTGCATTTCAAAACAAAATGGTTCTAATCCGATAATTCTGTCAACATTTTTTCTCATAAGGTCAAAGTATTTCCTCTAAGATTATATAAATACCCCATCCCCTTTGAAATTCTTTATTGAATCTACTGTGTAACTAAATATAGATAATTTATTATAGAGCAGTGGTTCCCAATCCAACAATGTAAACCTTAAAAAAAAAAAATAATAATTAATTTACAGAAATTAGTGAGAGAACGAAATGCTGAGATGTATGCCTTCTGTATTTATTAATGTATTAAATGAGCAATAATTCCTCAGGTTGGGAACCACTGTTACACTACTCTACAGTAAAGGGCAAATATAGAAGATAAGACTGTGTGTCATACATCAGTGTACCTTTTCTGTTCTATGTCTACCACCATGGCTATGAGTTTTACACTCTCAAGTTGTGCTGTAAAACGTGTGTCAGAGGCACTGTAACATACCACACAATAGTTAGGCTGCAGTACAGCATTGTGAGGGAGTGTACAGAAAGAGGCAGGCAGCAGCAGTGTGTGTTTCTGCGCCTGTGGTTCAGTTCAGCAGACTGCTGCGTTACCTTGCAGGGTGAGAGCTCCTGTGATGTACCAGAAGCTGTGCACTAATGTGAAGTTGTGCTCCTCTGTTTCTGGCTCAGCCCATTCAGCTGGGCTGATCCTGCAGAGAAATAAAAGGCCTTATAACCAGCACTGTTGAAGCTGCACAAGTGTTTGCTAAAAAATATATATATATATTGAAGATAGACAGCAAAGGGGGGCAGAGACAGGGGATGACACGCAGCAAAGGGCCACAGGTTGGATTTGAACCCGGGGCTGCTGCAGGAAGGACTCAGCCTCAGTACATGGGTTGCCAGCTCTACCCACTGAGCTAACTGGGCACCCTATGTTTGCTAAAATATTTGGTGTTTCTGCAACTACAGGCATTTTTCCAAAATTTTTTACATGATGCTAGATGAAAATATACACAGTGTGTTACACATCTCGACATAAAAATCAATTACTAAATAATGTGATTGAATTAAATTGATGAGGCCTTTTTTGGGTCCAAACACCACTTTTGTTCACATCCTACAACTGCTGTCTCAATGTTGATACACGTAAAATAAGGTAATTCAGCTATATTTAAGTTATTTCAAATATTTCATATAAATATTACTTCACTTTACCTTATGTAAATATAATTAATAAAAAATGTAGATGAGAGAGAAGTTTGGGTTTTTTTTACTTTAATTTTTCATACAAAGGCTTCTTTTTGGAAACCCAGAAACAATACCTCTGTGTTGTGGTAGCCGTAGTGTAGGGGGGACCCCTCCAACTTCTAAAAAAACACAAAATTGCCCCTTCCAATAATTTTGTTTTATTTATGCTGATTAGTTCATGAATATCTGAAACTATCATACTGACCATTTTCTTCATCTGAACCAGCCAGTCAACAGCAGAACACTATTAATGAATCATTCATTACCAATTACTGAAACACTACTTACTGTTTTTGTGGCCCCTAAAGTAAAGTGGTGCACCATACGGAGTTGTTACTGAGTATTGAATCATTACCTCGACTCATCATTATCTACTATATAATCCTCCATTAGGAATTATTAGGGAGCTACTTAATAATTATAATTCATCAATTATCAAGTTGTCCCTGATTTGTTCATTACTTGTTTCTTAATTGACTAATCATTAACTAATCATTAGCTACTCTATAATCTATCTTGATTAGGAGTTACTCATTAACTAATTGTTCACTAGCAGTTCTTCATTCGTTCCCTGGAACTTCTCAAAACTTTCACTCTTTAATACTGCGTGGTTATTTATCGTCGTTTAGACATTGATGTGGTCCCCGTCTAAGCTCTAATGAGATCTGCACCCTTGCAGGCAGCTACAGCCCTGGTTCTAATGTAGACTGTAGAAAAACAATGGAAAGATTGAACAGTCAACAGTTTGTGGAGACCTTTTGAAGCTTGCACTTACCTTCCCACCAGGAATATGCAGAGACCTGTTAGCAGGAATGCAATGAGGACACCGACCCACATGTTAGTAGAGAAGGGTGACAGCAGGCAGAAGGTGCTCTCTTCAGAGGCCATGTCTTTGTGCAGCAGGAAGCCGATTCCTGTTTGCATGAAGGGAGTGGTCGTGTCCACACTCTGCTCTCTGATTGCAGTGAGGGTCAGCGGGGCCACAGCCAGGTCAGCCTCCTGGTGGAGGGTGTAGGCACACATAACATACATAAGGCACACAATGTTAGCGACATGAATTTTTAAAGATCCATATCACTTAAGTTAGACAGAATTTGTTAGTAGCTGATGTAGCGGAATTTCAATCTCTTACATTTAAGCATTTCTATTCCAAATACTATGTTGTACATAGTACGCCCCAAGAATGTAGTTTGTGTCAGGACAAATGTTTTTAAAAAAGCAAATAAAACTCCAAAACAAATACCAAAACTAATCAGATAAAATGGTAAGGTTACTCTGGGATACATTGTCACAGAAAATACTAAAACACCTCCAAAAATGTAATTGCTAAATAAATATAAATAGATAAGGAAACCTTAGTGTTAAATATTAAATGAATAATAAATAAATAAAATGGATGATTAAAATGTAATATATAATAAAAACAACGAATCCTGAAAGAATTTATCTGAAAAAATCATTTATTTTCTTATATTCTATATATTCAACATGCCAGCTTTTTGACTGTTCAATCATGGACATCTTTGGACCTTAAAAATAAGCTATTTTACATTTTGAGTAGAGCCAGTTCAGTTTGATGGTTAATGACTTACCCCTCGGACGATCTCACCAATCATGCCGTTCCAGTTGCCGCTTGAGTCAAGGGCTCCGTAGCGGTTGTCCTTCACCAGGTGCACTTTGAACTTGAAGCCCACCTTTTTGGAGAGCTCAGAGATCAGGTCGATGCAGTAGCCCTCCAGCTCGGAGCCTTTGCTCATGGTGTATGGGTCTTGCTAGGGAAACAGAACCAAAAAACATAATTTCAATGGGGAATGTGAGTTATTGTTGCAGGTAAACTGGGCTAGTAGCAACAAAGCTGATATCAAATTGTTGCTTTTGGATGGAAATCAAAACTCAAATTCTGTCAGTTTTGAACTTTATGCAATGCTTTGCTGTAGTTGTGGGAAAATCAAAAAATCTCAGGATGGAGGTATTCTTTCACAAAGTGTTGTTTGAGTCAAGATGACTCTGTGCCACAGCTGCAGTCCACCGACACCTTGGCATTCCAGTCTAAAGAAAATGCACAAAGAAAGTATACCTTTATAGTGGTGATGGATAAGTCCTTGGAATCTAGAAAGGAAAAAAAACAAGCACCATAGTAAATTCTGGATTCTTGTAATGAAGCAAGTCAACATAATCAAGAAAGAGTATCAGCACAAAGATGTGAGGACTTAGTCTGAGGCCAGTTCTTTGACTGATTAGTGGTTTGGTTTCATGTCTGCAAGCTTATGTGTGGAGCAGCCTCTGAAAGCATAATGAAGCATATTGTTGCTTTGAGTCCCCTTCATGTGTTTTTCTCTCAGCCACAGCAGTAAATAAGCCAAACAGCCACTGGAGGACAATGACACTGTTGTTGTTGGTTGTTTTTCAAAAGACCTGGAATAAAGGGCTCCATAATTGCAAGGTACAATGAGGGGGGTAACTGGGCCCGTGTGGCGGAATTAAAGTGGGGGCCAGTCCTTAAGGATGTGTTTCGCCATTGTTCTTCATCCCCCCGTCACCATGTCATCAGAGCTGGGAATGAACCCCCCACCCCATCTCCCACATTACCCATGACATTCACAGTTGTTTTCTTTTTGCCATAACTGTGACCAATGGCATTCCCAGCATGTCCATCAGGCCCTAACATGCCCTGCCAGGGTCAGTCAGACAGGGGAGGGGGGATAAGCGGAGGTGCCAGGGGTGCAAATTCTTTATAATTACATGTGATAACAAAAGCAGGCCCAGTGGGGTCATATAAAGACCATGACACCCCATCAGCCTCCTCTAGAGAGGATACAAGGACCTGTGAATCTGCGGAGATGCCTGTCAGTTCACCGCCTGCCTGCAGAGTTTTCCCCCTGCACAGTTAATTGATTTATCACAGTGCTTTCTGGACCACAGCAAGGCGGTAGCCCCTCCACTGGTGAGAAATGGAATACTGCCACGGTGGTGGTGCCCCCTCTGTGCTTTGATAGGACTCCAGCAGTCTAGCAGGGCCAGCGGGGAAAGAGTCAGATGTGAGGAATGATTTGGGAGTGTGACCCCCCTTCTCATAGGTCAGCCAGAGCCTGCTGGCACAGAGCAGGGCTTTAGCTGTGCAGACAGTTGGAGAGGCGGGGCTGCTCTGGTGGAGGTTCTCATTGGCTGAATGAAACCTTAATGGACAGAGCTGCAGTGTAAAGCACCAGAGCTTATCATAATGTCAGATGACTAACTGGCAAGTTAGTTGGTATAAATATTATTTATATTTATTTATTTTATTTTACTGTTTTTAAATGGTAAAAAATAGTAATGCACAATAATTAGTGGAGTGGATAAAATATGGTATGATAATGGAAAATGTATATTATATATTATTTCAATATTCATATTATAGCTGATAAAGTATGGGATAATAATAATAATAATAATAATAATAATAATAATAATAATAATAATAATAAGTTTAGGGAAATATGAGAGAATATTGCCTCTCCCTCCTGACTAACCCTGAGGGACTCCTCAGTATGAGCTCAAGGCAGCAAATAAAAAACAAATTCTAAGGGTAATTTGGATGAGGGAAGAAAGGAAGCACATAGCAAGACTGTTTTTTATGAGTTTTCAGACTTTTTTCTGATATGCCCTTTTGACCACAGCGAAGCACACAGTTAAAATATGACATTTGATATCTCTTTAGCAAAGAAAAAAATGAATATTGCAGTAAAAGGTCTCCCCTAAAAGAGGAGAGATGAGGGAGGAGAGTAAAACATAATTTGCATCTGGTTGGGTTTTAATCGATCTCAACACTTCCCAGTACAGCGGCTAGTAAATGTAGACTTTTTTTCTGCAACAAAATTATAACTTAAATAATAACTGAATAATAATATAATAACTCTAAATGTGATGTATTTAACCAAATGAACCACGTTCCGTCATATGCTGCACTGCCAGGTTATGTGTATTATTCTTACCTGCAGTGATCATCCATGCAGACAAGGCTGCCACACAGAAGACCAAAGCCATGTAGCTTTTCATGTTTCCACAGCCCTGAATATGACAATGATTAATACATTTATTTAAACACATTTTTCTGTCTCGATTTCAGATGTCATCTAACCAAGATCATCATCAACATCCAACATTTACAACAATTTCCAGGATATGTTGATTGTTTTGTTTTGATGAAAAATACCTGCTATGAAACAAAAATTAACTTACCTCAGTTACGTCTAGTTCAGTGTAAATCAGATGACTCCAGGAAAATGTATATGAAATTCACAACAAGGCAGTGGGAACAGTTGTGAGGAAAACAATGTAGTTGGGGGTTTATATGGGGGAGACAGGGAGGGACCTCAGAGGGAAAATAAACTAGGGGGGAGGGGGGAAGGGGTGGGGGGCTGACCTGGGGAATCAGAGGAAGAGATTTTGTTTTGGAGAACATTTTCTCTCCCTTCTGACTAACCCTGAGGGAACATAAGCTCAATTCACACCATATGTAGAATCTGTTAGAACTCCTCCACCCACACAAACTCATAAATTAAATAATCAACAGTAATGCGTATTTTAGAAATAGTGTCCAGAAAAACTAGTCCTGTTTCTTAGAAAAATGTCTATAGGTTTTTGGTATAAGCCAACAACCCAAATTCATTTATTCAGACAAAACCTTGGAAAATGGGCAGTGATTTCATGTTGAAAGGAGGGACAGAATTCACTCTTTGAGACAAAAACATTCTCTCAGGCCTGAAGTGTGAGATGAGGCTTGGATGTTGCAGTTGAGAGGCCAAGCACTCCAAACTGTCGAGATAAATACGGCTTTAAGAGGATCTCTATGGTTTTCTTGGAATCCTAATGAAGCTGTCTTTTGTGTTTGTTTGCTGGCTGGAGCAGAGTCTGTGGTGCTAAAATGAGCATGTCGTGCTTCACAAACTCTCACAGAGCTGGGGAAGAGGCCTGGCAGTGTGTGACAGCTCACAAGAGGTGGCCGTCAGCTTTGGAAACCACAAACTTGACAATGGACAAATGTTTGACTGACAAATCAGTGTCCTGAGAAAGCACGGAGAGGCTGCACTTATTGTTAGAATTGAAGATGGTTTGGGTGGGAGAGGGTGGGGGGCATAGTGGCCTCTACTGGTGAAGTTGCAGATTGCAACTAACTAAGCACCCATCGTATCTGACCTGGGAATGAGAATGAGCTGTGAAGAGATCAACACTGGTGGTACCAGGCCAGAAGGTAATAGGTCAGAGGCAAGTTACAGGAGATTTGTAGCCAAGAAGCACACCGTTTTTTGTATTCTTTTTAAAGACAAAAAAACACTCTCTGAAGATGCTCCACTTCTCAAACGCTCTTGGTAGGCTTTGAAGACACGTGGATCCCAGAGCCAAACCACCAAACAGTCCCGACGCCATAAAGCCGGTGGAATTTCAGGGTAAATGTTACACACTGGACCTTTTTTAAGTTTTGGGTAAATATGACCCAGCCATTGGTACAACTAATTGTTTACTGCGGAATTGATCAATATTCAACAGGGGTTGTCAAAGGATGCCGATACCAACTCATTTTCATTAACTTCCTCAAAGTTATGCATGAATTCATTACTATTGTTATTATTATATTTGGTTTCAATGAATGGTTTGCATCCCAAGGTGTACATGCTGTTTCAAAGGGGTTTCAAGGTCTCGGGTTCCAAAGCAAACATTGAGATTTTACTAAACCCTCATTAGTATGACCGGATTTTATTCCATACACCACATTCTAACATCTAAGACAGTCTAGGTAAATAGTTTATAGCCTAAAAATCTGAATCTCAAATGCTACTGAAAAGATGTTTTTCTCTTTTAATGACTGGTTGAGCTTGTCGTCTCTTGTGCAATCTTAAGTTTTCATTCTGGAACATTCTTCCTTCCTACAGGGGGTTTGGAGTGGAGGGGGAGGGTTGCCAGAGAGGCTGAGAGAGGGGATGGCTGGTAAACACAGACCCAAGCCGGGTCCATAATTAGAGCAGAAAGCGGACCCTGCCAAAACAAAGGCCAAAGGCTTTTACATGTCAGCTTGTATAAGGCTCAGTTTAACTGGTTTGTTAACGACTCGTCTTTGTCTCTGAGCTGAGACAGCTGCTGATAGATTAGGTGTAAATGAAATAATTGAGCTGTGAAACTTTCAATAATATTCATTTGAGATTTATTTAGGTCATAATTACACAGTTTCAATTAAATATTGTCCCTAAAATTTTGCACAAAGAACTGGGATGGCAGTGCAAACAATACAGCAGGCCGACAAATAAACGTGCTTTGATACAGATAATTTTCATCTTGTATTAGTACCACAGACCAATGAGAACACAGGGTTTCAGGGATGATGCTCTTGTGACCACCATCAGACGATCCAAAAAAGAAGTTTGGAATATTAACAAGTCTTTATATAAAAAGTCTTTGTAAAATAAAACACAGCATTAGGATAAACATTACAGTGTGTAAAAGACATGCAGTCAACTAAAAAGGGCTAAACTGGTATGGAGTAGTTCAGCATTGCTTTAATGTACAGGATTCTCAGTGCTGTGACATGCCACAGATCAGGAAGGTTAGCAAAATATTGGCAGTTTGGTCAAATTAAAATGTAACCACTACACAAGAAATATTAAAATAAAGACCTTGTGTCCTGCACTGTAGGAATAATTCCTTTCCATTTTTTCAGCAAAGACATGTGACAAGCCCCAGTTTTTTAGCATTAAACTGTACAATTATATTCAATATGATACCATGCCATCATTTTCAAAATATTGCTAGTGCTTGGATGGGCTGATAATAACGCCTTGACATAAAGTATCTCATTTTCAACTCAGTTAAAGTATACCATTACATTTCAAGTAAATAAAAAGAATGGATCATTTAAAATCCTGTCCTCTAGTTGTGATCTATTGCTACTGTATGCTCATGTAAAGTTCCAAAAAATACTCAGACATGAGAGTAGTCACAGTCAACATAAACAGCTATATAAAAACTCCAGGTATTTCTCACTAAATACATTCTGGCAATTATCTAACATTTGGTGCAAACATATGACAGAGCTGTAGTAGTTGCTTTTACAAGAACTGCTCTCCAGTAGTTTCAAGACAGTGTTTTATGAATGCACAAGTTAAAAAAATGGATCTTGCACAACCACAAGATACAGAATTGATTGTTCATGGATTACTAATTCAGTGGAACACTTGAAATAATCTGCATTGTGAACCAGTTTTCTGTGAGATATTATGCAAGATATGCAACTTTTTCTAAAAAAAGATTCTTACATGAGAAAAACTGGACTGTATTCCAAAGTTTCTAGCTGTGTGTCTCACGCTCAGTTCCAAGTCAGCCAGTTCTCAGAGTTTGAGCATGAAAAAGACTTCACTGTTTTCAGGGTCTGGGGAGGACTGGGACTGTCTAGGGGAGGGGTTTCCTAGGGGGGCGAGCTGACTCAGCAGGTCCAGGCTGGTGCAGGGACTCCTGGCCACACAACACGCCCCTTCGGGGTTGCCCCGCTCCTCGATGGGGCTAGCACTACTTCCGCTGCCAATGCTACCAGTAAGGCTAAAGCTTGCACTTCTGCCCTGGATCAAGCCCTGGAGCCTCTGCCTTTCCTGGGCCTTCTTGGCCCTGTTTGCTATGTACCGCACCCTGCTTTGGCTTCTCGAGGAGGTCCTTCGCACGAGACACTCATCCACAGACTCCTCCGGTGACTCTCTAGGTCTGTTTTCTGGGGCAAAGTCCTTAGCAGTCAGGGGCTCAACGTTAGTCAGCTTACGTAGTTGCTCTGTCAGGTCGCTGGGTGGCCGAGATTTGTTCGGGCCACCCTTGCGTAGCTGGTCCCTGGTTGGCCTAACAATGAAGCTGCGGCTGATGCTGCGGTACTTGCTGTCAAAACTACAGGAAATGTCATCAGAGGTCAGATCCCCAAGGCTTTTGGACATGGAAGCTGTAGCTGCTGGAGATGTAGCTGCAGAAGACGGCCTGCTGGCTGATGACTGCTTGAGCCCTTCCATGTAGAGCCGGCTCCAAGTGTGCCTCCTTTGAGTCAGTCTGCTGGGTGAGTCCACAGAAGCTTCCTGGGGGGGCTGCAACGGGCGGGGCTTAAGCTCATCTTTGGAACACTCACTTTGCTGAAGATTGGGGTTTGACTTGCTTTTGCTGACTCGCACAGCATCGTAGGAGACCAATGCTGAGCGACGGCAGTTGACCCAGGGAGGATCGCAGGTGCTGCTGGCTGTGGGCAGGCTGGTAAGGCTCTTCCTGGCCAGGTTAGGCAGGGACAGGTCAATGACGGTGTCGCTGGAAGAGATGCTAGAGGAGGAGGACATGCTGTCTCGGTGGCTGCCTGGCTCTAACTTGCTCCAAAGACGGTCGTTCATTGTAGCATCCGTGCAAACCTCTGGTACAGCTGACTGGGCCTGTCCAGTTGAGGCTACAGCCACCCGAACATAGCCCTCACTTTTTGTTCTTCTGACTGGTGTGTGGGATGTCAAATTGCTAAAAAGTGCTCTCCTCGCATGGGCTGTCTGAGCTGCAGGGACGGTTCCAGTGGGAACTGTGGCAGCAGGAGGCTCCGTGCTGTGGTCAGACTTGAACTCTGCTGTGTCATTTTCCTTTTCTGCCATTATTTCTTGGTTTTCCCTCTGGTTTGGTATGTGCTCCATGAATGAATGAGTACTTCTGTTGGTCTGGGTGTCCTGACTGCACTTTGATGGTACAGGTTTCTCAGCAGGATTCGTCAGAGGGAGTGACGTGGTTCTGGAAAGGGAAGGAGTTTTCTTAGGGTCCCCACTCACCTTGATAGGACAGTCTACCACTCCATTTGAAGAAACGGTCAACTGGGAGTCTGCATTTATTGCTGTGGATGGCGAGTGCACTGATGTAGATGAGGAGCCATGTGAAGACAGGTTGTCTTCTGGAGTGGAGATGGAGCGGATGAAACGTGTGTTCTTGGTGTGTTCAGAGTTTAGTGCAAGAAATGGACGAGGGGGAGTTGGTTTCTGAACTGTGGAATAGTCTGTGGAAGAAAAACAAAAGAAAACACTTATCACCAATGGTTCAGTATTAGCTCAGATACTGACCTTACTAAGCAAGTATCTGCTAGATATGGCCAATCACATTAGGCCAAATACAATATAATGAATGTGAAGGCAGTGGAGGTATTGCTATTATGAAACCTTAAGTGTTTTTCAGGATGTGGGTTTGAATCATTGCACATCCAAAACAAAGCTAAACAAAGCCTTATAAAAGGAGAATGGTTCAGAAAATGAGGACTGAACAGCAGAAAGCTACATTTAATGGGTTGGTATTGGTTCATGAGGAAAAAGAAAAACAAGTACAGGTGAAATGTTCTGGTGAAGGG